TGTGGGACGTTCGCATGTCTGGGACGTTCGCTTATCATGTACGTTATACTTTTTACTTTATTCTTTGATCTTTCTATTTTGTCTTAAATTTTATATATTTTTCTTTTTATTGTGTTTCTTATCTACTCTTTTCTTAGTATTTAATTCATTAGATTCGTGACCTCGGTTTTTTTTTCTTTTTATCCTCGTATTCTTGGATAATGGCAACTCAGGGTTGAGCTGTAACTATTTGTTTATCGGAATATGGGTGTAAGAGGAGTGTATTTAGCCGGAAATAACGCGTCTAGATACACCCCCCGCACTTTCGCTAGATGTGCTCCGTACGAATACTCCGTACCGGAAGGTACAATCCCATTGGCATGATGCCATGTAGCAGTCCAGCCTCTGATCAAGGTAGAGCGGCTGTAGCCAAGCGTAATTATTTCAAAATGGAATACAGCTACTGCAAGCCCGTCCCATGTACCATCTGTGGCCACTGAGCTGTTTGCACCGTGCTTGGCAGGATTTGTTGTCTCCACTGCAGACGATAACATTGCGGGATAACCTTCCTTCGACTCGCCCCTTGTCTTTGGCAGGAGACGAAAGTTCCTCCATCCCATAACAGATAGGAATGAAAAACTCAAGATTGGACCAGAAGAGCAAGATCCGCATTATCCACTTCCATATTTCTATAACCTCTATGGGTCAAACACCATGATTGCAAACCTCGTCCTGCTGGCTCTCCCGCTGGTGGCCACTTATTTGCTCACAACATTATGGCACCGCCGGTTCAGACAGTTTGCGAATTTCCCCCAGCTTAAGCCATCCTTTCTCTGGGGGCATCTGAAAGTTATTCATGAGTACACCCTGAGGGGGCCGCCTAGGATTCACCATGGTATGATGGCCAGGAAAGACCCGCAGGCTGCGTTGAGGCAGACAACTGACTCTCTGCCCACTAATAGATACCGTCTTCGCCGAGATGGCCAAGGAATTGGGAAACCCGCCACTCATGTTCTGTGATCTCCGTCCCGCCAGCTACCCGATGGTCGTGGTGACCAGCCACGAGGTGGCCGAGCAAATCTCACGAGTCTCGAAATTGTTCCCCTGGAGCACGCCCAAGTCCCCCACGCTGGGCGACCTGGTGCAGTTGATTGGGCCCGAGTCCATCTTGGTGAGGAAGGCAAGCGTTCCCTCACACCTGCGTCTCATGCTCTCCAGCGGTTGTTAACGGCTGCTTTTAGAATGAGGACTGGAAGCAGCTTAGAAAACGCTTTAACCCCGGGTTTGCGCCGCAGCATCTCATGACGCTTCTGCCCTGCATTCTGGACAAGACGGACATATTCATCAAGCATCTCGACCGCTATGCTAACTTGGGCGATGAGTTCCCCCTGCTCAAGCTCACCATCAACCTCACCTTCGACATCATCGGGGCCATCACCATGAACGTCGATTTCAACGCGCAGCACTCCGAGTCGTCGAACCAGGGCGAGTTCATCCGGCTGTACGACCAGCTGGTCAGCCTATACAGAGGGGATGAGAACCTACCGTGGTGGATGTACCCGAGGCGCGAGTGGCACCGGCATCGCCTTAGCGGCAAAATCGACAGACAGCTCGAGGCCATGATTCAGGCGCACGCTGAGCAGCAACAGCAGCAGCAGAACGGCAAAGCCAAACCCCGCGACGTCCTGAGTCTCAGCCTGCAGGGTGGCGACCAACTCACAGCCAGGCTTCTAGCCGAGACCCGGGACCAGCTCAAAACCTTCCTCTTCGCCGGCCACGACACGACCGGCATCCTGCTGGCCTGGCTCTTCTACGAGCTGTCCCGCTCGCCACATGTACTCCAGGCGGTACGCGACGAGCTCGACGAACTCTTCGGCCCGGACCCGGACCCGGCGGCCGTGCGGGAGAAGCTGCTGGCTCCTAACGGGGACGAACTTATCCAGCGCATGACGTACACCACGGCCGTCATCAAAGAAATTCTTCGACTGTACCCCCCTGCGGGTACCGCGCGAATGTCTCCTCCAAATTCCGGGTGCACGGTGCGCACGCCTGACGGGCAGAGCTTCTGCCTGGACGGAGCCATCATCTACAACTGCGCAACCATCATACAGCGGGACAGGACCGTGTTCGGCGACACGGCAAACGACTTTGTCCCCGAGCGCTGGCTGGGTGACAAGGCGGGCATCATGAGCGCGGGCGCGCAGGACGAGGACGTAGAGCCTCGCGGCGGCGACGCTGGCGACAGAAAGTCAATCCCGCCCGGAGCATGGCGGCCATTCGAACGCGGCCCGCGCAACTGCATCGGGCAGGACCTTGCTACCATCGAGGTTCGGGTAATTGTGGCGGTTGTGGCGAGGGCCTTCGACTTTGTCAAGGTTGGCCTGGGAGAGCTTGACCTCGATGAGAAAGGCCAGCCCGTTGTGAACGAAAAGGGGCAGTACAGGACCAAGTCCGAGATGTACAATGTAAGTGGTCCGGGTGAAGAGGCAGCCCGTGTGAAGAGGAGCAGTGGATGCTGACTGTGTGTCCAAGATTGCTCAGGTGACGGCCAAGGTACGTCAAATCCGCGCTCTCTTTTGTTTCTTTTGAGATGTCTTGGGAGTGACGGGAGTCACCCTGTCCCCAAAGCGGCGCCTTTGCTCCCGAATTACTCCTCACACTTGTTAGAATGTATGACTAATTGTTAAACAGCCGGTTGATTCGATGCGGATGAAGGTGAGGCGGCGGCCATTGACGTACTGACTGGGCGAGAGGTCTCGAATGGCCGGGGAAACCGACTGGGTCGCCCCGACACGCTGTTGCACCACCGGGAAAACAGACAGCCTGCTGTACCTGATAGGCAGGGGGTCCACAAGCTCCGTTAGGATGCGGGTGTTGGGACTTGTTCCGCGTGTCGGGTGCGTGCTTTCTGTCGGGTGGCGACGCGGGATCAAGCATTCCAAAGAAAGGAAAGAAAAGGTTGGTCGAGCTGACATGAGGATGTTGTCTGAGAGCGGACCCTGAAGATCAATTAGGATCAATTCAATTCCCGTCATCTGTTAAAAGAAGCTTGAAGTTGCGGTTTTCTGCAGATGGTCGTGAACCCGTGGGCATTCAGACTCCCGGTCGTGAAAAAGCTCCTTTTTGCGCTGTGACGTCACTGTCGGACCAGCCGCTGCACCTGCCAAAGTCACGGTCAAAGTGGGATGCTGCAGATGCAAGGGCGCAGTGGCAGGCGCTATTGACCCAGCTCCTGCACCAGCGCACATCGGTTAGCCTCGCAATCCCCACCCCAGTTTTTCGGTCTACTTGAGACTCCCCAAGTTCTTCGACCCCAAAAACTCACCACCATCCTCGCCCTTCAACGGCCGGAACTGGAGGCCCCACTCGCGGCGCCCGAACAGGGCCCGCGTCGATACCACTCCCAACCAGCTATAAAATTACGAGACCAATTCGCCATCAAGCAGTTATTTCACCAAGGGAGAACGGCGACAACAAGCTGCTAGCGGTTTAGGGCAGTCTCGTCTTCTTTCGAAATCCCAGGAACCCCGAATCTCAACCATGGCGGTCGACGAACACTTTGGAATCGTGCTCTCACAGCTCCCCCACATCAACCTCGATGCCCACTCCGAGCCCGCTCAGAACAAGCCCACGATGAAAGCCGGTGGTTCCAATTCCGCCATCTCTGTATTAGTGTCGGAGCTGCCATCTCCACCATTGTCGCCCAGCCAGGAAGACGCTGCCGCGAATGTGGTAGAAGCAATCTCGGGTGCAGAACCCGAACCCGGCTTGCCCACGCGAGCGGCACCCGGCACATTCCCATACTTCCCCTTACTTCCGGCCGAGCTCCGTCTCAATATATGGTGAGTGTTTTCCAATTGCGTCGACGGTACATACGGCCAGCTGCCCGAACGGGTAGGCTCAAGGATGATCCGCGAACAAGGCCTGACCGGCAACCAGGCACATGTCATTTCTCCCTCGAACCGTCGAGCTCCACACACGCCGCGCTCACTACGCCAATGACGACGAACGCGGTGCGACTCCGAAATGGCAGTCACAATCCCGTAACCCGGCCGCGTTGTCCGTCAACGTCGAGGCCCGCGCCGCCGCCCTCGAGTTCTACACCGTCACGCTACCGCTGCAAAACAGTTACCGGGTTCTGTACCTGAACCTGGAGCACGACACGGTGGTCCTGCTGGGGGACCTGCATTACACGCGCCTGACGAAGCTGCTCGACTGGTTCCGCATGAAGGACAGGCCGACGTCCGGGCGGCCGCGGCACAGCGATGTCGCCGGTGGCGCCGGCAAGGAAAAGGGGCTTAGGAAGCTGGCCATGAGCGTGGCGCTATGGGCGCACGAGGTCGGTGCCGCGACGCTCAAGGCTTTTGCGCGCACTGTGTTTGCCGATATGGACGAGTTCACCCTGTTTATGTATCCGGATCGCCTGCCGCCGCCCGAGTGGACGGGAGGAGTTTGTATGTTGGAGGAAGCCGACGCCGACGCCGACTACTACCGGCGCTTTATCATCGGGAGAGGCAGGCAATTTCGCGTGGGGAATGGCTGGATGGTTGTCGGCCAGCAGCCCATGAAGGTCGCCGAGATATCTTTTGAGGGCGGATGGTGACGGTCGTGTACTCTGGACAGGCAGGGTGTGTTGTTGTCGTGTCGTCTTCTTGCCTTCGGCGTTCGCTCCTGGGTTTCATAGCATGGCATGCGTGGCTGTGGGTTTTGGCATTGTGTAGTAATGTTAGCACATGTATCCTATAATGACAGCACCGCGAATTCACCATGATCGGCGTTAATGGCACAGCGGTTTCGGACCCGGGGAACCCGGCCTGCCTCTCTATTGCCCCGTGATATGGTACAGAGTTATACACGTCTATTACCGCGCCGCAGTTGTCATTATGCGCCCAGCCTCCTGAGGATCTTTTCCCGAACCACCTGTTGGGCCACTTCGGCGCCATGTTGCAAGGATATAGCACCGATGATGGCGAAGAGGGCGGTGTTGAGCACAACCGTCATACCGGAGGCATCGAGGTTCTCGGGCTGGTAAATGGGAGAAGCCAGGTTAGCCGCCACAATGCCCGCTGCGTGCTTGCCAGTAGGTACCCCCGAGATCACATACCATTCTTGGCTTCCACCTGACCACTTCTGGCAGGCCAACATCAACGGCCAGTTTGGCCAGCTTCTCCTTGGAAACGACGTCTATCGGTTGCCTCGTGTTAAGCTTGTCAATGTTGGCGAGCGCGCTGTGCTGGAAAGGCTCGCGGCCGAACGGGTCCCGGGGAGGATCTCGCGCCGTCACCGGTGCGACTATGATGTGCCGTGTGGTCTCGAGAGAAACGATCAGGCGCCCTGTCCAGAATTACAGTCAGATCAGGTTGCCCGCACTCCCGATGGATAATGTCTGGGCGTTTGGGATCGCACCAAAGTAGGCCAGCCTTGTGTTGAATCCTCGCCGCCCCTGATCAAAGCTCTTGTGTGTGATGGCCAGCCACTTGATCTCGTCCGGCAGCATCCTGTCCCCCTTGGACCCCAGGAGGCGGTTGTACATGGCATCGAGCTTCGCCGGATCCTCGTTGTTGTGCCAGACGGTCCGGCTGCGGTCCTTGACGACGTTGATGGAGAAGCCCGGTCCCTTCATGCGCTCTGGCGTGTACGACCACCGTGGCCGAACCTGCTGCTCGGTGGCCGACTCGACGGCCTCGGCGGCCTCGGAGTTGCGTGCTAACGAAGTCGACAGTTGCCGGACCGGCTGCCCGAGCCTGCACGCGACCGATTGCGCCGAGGCATTGTATCTCCGCAGCGCCTTGCACGTCGCCGAGGCGACTGAGCGAGATGGGTGGAGCGTCATGGGGCCGAAGTGCAGAAAAATCGATGCCGTGGCGTGTTTAGGGAGTGTCTTGTACGTCCGCAATTCAAGTCAATGTTCGGTTCTTGATTTTTCGTGACGGGCTCTCAAGGTGCCAAGCCTTCCGGTCTTGGCGTGACCCACTATCGCCGAGCCGAACTTTCAAGTGATGCCCCACTGCATCCATTTCCAAGCTCAAGCTCCACCATCTCTTCAATTTACTTGTCGCGATTCGCAAACGCGTTTCCTCTCGATCACGGAGCTGTCCCAATTGTCCGCACATAGCTTACTCTCGCTCAGTTATCGCCATGTCGTCTTCCAAATCATCTAGTCCTAAACACGCCGTAAACAACAACACCGCATCTGGCAGCGCCAATTGCCTCCGCGACCGACTTGCAGCAATTCTCCCCCAGGGCCACAAGTTCGGAATCCACCACATCTCGACGCCTCCAACACGAACCGAGCCCCTCTGCGCAGCCCCACCAGGTCAACGGCCGGACAAGACTTACAGGGAAAATCATTTTCTCGCCGTCTCGATTTACCCTCGGGAGGGGACGGCTCCGTCCTTGAAACGAGCGTCGCCCGGTGCAGAACCCGCCAAGGAGGCGGACACCAGGAAACCGGCATTGGTTTTCGCAATTGAGGTTCTCATATTTACCACAGCCTACCAGACCACCCTCTTCGTCTCCAAAGCCGACTCGACCGGCTACCTCCATCTACTCAACCTTCCGAAGGGCGCCCCATCGCTCATACGCCGGGTGTGCGCGACATTCCTCGCGTACCTTCTCGACCACCGCCGGCGCAACCACGTCCAATCGATCGTCAATCTGTTTGCTCGCGCACAAGCACAATACCTGTTCCCCGGGAGTGTCCGCAACAAGGGGAAACACGTCTTGGACGATAGAGGCCTTGTTCGCTGGTGGTGCAAGACCCTGAACCCGCTTATGGAGGGGCTGAGCAGGGAGCCATGGGCCAGCACCAAGGCTTACCTGCTTGTGCCTGGGCTGGAAGAGGGGGAATCACGGGCCTTCATACCGCGGACAACAGCGAGCCTGGCGAATTGGGTCGTCGGTCATCCCCTCGAACGCATCTCCCACTACACTGGCGAGTTTGACTGGGTTCCTCCACGATGTCTCATCCCTAGCTATCCAGACGATCCGAAATCGCGATTCCGTGACGAGCTCGACGAGGAAATTTCCAAACGCAAGCGGGACATTGGAGCTTGGAAGAGCGTCAAGTCGCTGGAGCAGTTTTGGGATATGATGGCCTTCCGTCAGGAGTGCTCCAGCGGCCGCATGACCGGATTCGTGTGGCTGGTTTTCGATTCCAACCAGCCATCCTCAAGCTCGGCAGCCCCTCCAGCAACCGACCTTGCGACCCCCAGCACCTCTTTTAGCTCCTCTTTGCCTTCGTCCATGCCTGCAACTCCGCCTCGACGTCGCGGCGACATCTCATCCTATACGCCCCGATCAACCCCCGTCAAGGCTGCTGCTGCACCGCCATCACCGCCACCCAAAGTCTCCAGAAAGAAAGCAAAGAAGAAGCTGTCGGGCCCCGTCGTGCCGCGCGCGCCAAAGGTCAAGACACATGCGCGCAGTTACCTCGTCGACCGACCCACCGCAACGGCATACTATTACTGGCCACCAGAGGGGCGCGGAGACAAGATGGTGGACGAAGCAGCATACAAGCGCATTGTCGAGTTGCTTCTCCACTTGGACTTTTCGACCATCGACAAGGCCATTGGCAGTTCTCGGCGATGGCTCGACGAAGCCGGCATGGGTGAGGGGGCGGAAGGGGGTACCGTCGGCCGGGCAATCATTTCCGACTCGCTGGGAGTCAGCGGGCCCCCGCCCAGTGCCACTGGCAGCAGCGTGATAAACCTGACTGGGCTGATCAGGAGGAAGAAGGCGTCCGAGTCGTCCGACACCGGTGCAACTCACAACCAGAACTCGCCGTTAAAGGTTTTGAATGGACTCCCTGCCGAGCCACAACAGGTAAATATTCTTGGCGCCAATCTGGTGCGGAAGAAGAAGGATGTCGCAGGTTTAGATAGCGCGGGAACTTCGAGTAGGTGATATCCAGGCCGGCCGGTGGTGCCAAGCATGGTTCGTCGATGTTTCCTCGAGCCGCTCATGGGTTCTCAGATCGCGATCACCGGCTTCTACACGAAAACAGACGTACCTTATGGAGGGTGACAGGGCACACTTTGGATACCACCCCTTTCGGGTCATACCCTGCCATCAACGGCCGAAAACCAAAGCGACGTCGATTGGGTTCTGATACAGGGTATTCCTCTTGGGTTCGTACAAGTGCGATGAACTATGCGCGCCTAGCTGACTGATTATTTACCGATGGATACAAGCGCGGTGTCAATGCAAATAACATCACAATGTTCAAACCCGCCGCCTCTTGGCAGTTGGGCCATCGTCCCCTTGCGCCCTCTTTTCTGAAGCCAGGTTGTTCCGTAGCTCGTCCATTTGCCTCCTGACCCACGCCTGGGCCTCCCGCAGGACCTGTTTCTCGCCTCTCCTAACCCATACCGCCATTTGCTGCCGGCGAGTCAGCTGCCCTGCCCGGATGATGTGCTCGTCCTCCTCAAGCGACGTGGCGTATTGACGCTCCCTGGCTTGCAAAGCCCCGAGTACGGCCTGCAGATAAAGATTCTTCCGCATGTCCCCATCTGACAATGCCAGGACGGCTAGGTTGGCATTGCAAACCTTCTTGATCGACTTGAGAAACGCTTTGAACTGCTCGCCCAGCTCGTCCGGCAAGCCAGCGAAGACGGTGTCGGTGCCGAGTCTTCCCTCTGAGTCCGGGTCGTCGCTGGCGCGCTCCAGCACAAAGCTCTCCTCGAACGCATCGTCCGCCAGGGTGAGCTTCCTCGCTTTCTCCCAATCTGAGGGGGCCACGGAACCCCCCGCGGCGCGCTGCCTCAGCTCTGCCTCGACGAGGTCCCACGGCAGCTCGACCACGTCGTACCGGCTGTGATGCGGCGTCACGTAGCCGTACCGACGCAGGAGCTCGCCGTTGGGGAGCGGGCCGTAGTAGTTAAAGATCTCCTCGCCGGCCTTGATGCGGCGCAAGGCCGTAGCCGTCAGTGCGTCCTCGCCGTGGTTGATGTGCGCGTTGAACTCGGCGTCGGCGTTGAGGATGTCGGCCATCGGGACCATGCCCAGCATCGTCTTGCCCTCTCTGTCCTCAACCCACTCGTCGTCGGCTTCTTCGTCGGCTTGCTTGATTTCGGGATCATCAGACTCTAGATCGAAGGCGTAGGCCATGATGGTACTGCCCATGCGGTGGGCCAGGGCGAGCAGCTGAGCGTCGTCGAGGGTTTGGCTGCTGCTACCAGGCGGGAAGAAGACCTGCTCGTGAGCTCGCACGACGGGGATGATCTTGGTCTTGATCATCCGGTCCGCCTCGTCCTTGCCGACCTTGGCGACCAGGGCGCTGGCCTGGAATTCGGACAGCTCGGCGGGTGACCAGAACATGGGCGTGTCAAATACGGTGGGCAACACGTCCAGATACGGTTTCCAGCGTGAGGACTCGCCCTGGAGGTACTCGTAGAGCATGGCCAGGATGAGCAGCGTCCAAGAGTCTTGCTGTGCGCCAGAGCCATCGTCGTCGTCATCTCCAGAGTCAGGCTGCCCAGCATCGTCGTTGTCCAGGCCAAAAACGTGGGGGATCTTGTCTCTGAGCTGCGAGGTTGCTGCACAGATGATGGCGTTCCGAGGAATGGTGAAGAGAACAGTGTCGGGCTCGACATCGGCTAGGGCCACTGAACATGGGAAAGTCAGCATCGGGTATTAGTACGGTTTCTTTATGAGATGTCTCTCACTGACCAATTCCTCGACCAGCATTCTGTGCCCTCAGGTCCTCGACGGCAATCAAGTCAGAGCGGAAAGTCGCCCCAGGAAGAGCTTGAAACCACTCGACAAAGCTGCGAGTGCGCTCAGCGAATCTAGAGCCGTCAATGTCGACTTCCATTTTCAGAAGTACCTGTGAATAAGAAAACACCTATAAGATAGACAAGCTGCGATTTTTGCACACCACTATATTTTGAGTGATAAAGAGGTTAACTCAGTTCAAGCAAGAGCTTGTAATTCCCTTTGAAGAGATTTTTGTTGGCTTGCATTCACCCTACCCTAACCCTTGGTAGTTCTTGTATTTATACTGTTCCTTTTTGCCTCGATGATTTCTTCTTTAGTTCCCTTTCTTCCTTCCCTTCTCCTTTTGCTTTCATTTCATTTCACGCTTCAAGTCTATCTTTACTTTCTTTCCCTTCTTAATTTTTCACCTCGTATCTTTCGGTATATGAGTGGGATCATGGCTCCTCAGCTAAGTGCAGCCCTTGGTCGCCAACACATTCAAATCTGTTGTTGGACCTCCTGCTGGCTTACAACCCACCGAAACCAACCAACACACACATTCATCCGCCCCGCGAGGCGTAACCAACAAACAGTATGCACTAACTAGATGACTGGACTTTTCATCGACACTAAGCATACCTCGCGACGAGCATTCTTTATACTGGATGTGCAATCGAAGGCCGCTTCTTATCTTCCAGCTGGTTCCACCAATGAAAGTTGTGCAAGCAAATCCAAACAGAGCTGGACAACCCAGACCAGAACTAAGGGGGGCCTAACTTGATGTCGGCCATGCAAGACGAGTAAGTCTTCTACCAATATTGTCACTTCCACTCGACTTCGGAGACAGGTGTTCGCTCGATAAGGAGGACTTCAAGTTAGTAGTCAAACACCAAGTTAGATATCTTGACCATGGCAGACCAAAACTATCAACAGGTACTTATTTACGGCCGGCCCAGAATCGCGGTGAGCGGAGAGCTAAAGGACTCCGTAAGACGAGATGATCCGACAGTCTTAGACAAAGTGGAAGTCCCCCGCTCCAAACATACGTTACTAACTTTCCTTTTCCTAACCGCTGCATTCCCGATTATGAATCAGGTCAAATGTGCGTCACTTGGGATGCAGGATCGGTCCCGCACAATGGCTTGCTTCTGCCTATCAGAGGTTGGGGCTGAGTAAGAACCCTCCTCCTCCCGCGCCCCTGACTCGACCTAGACCTGTTCAAGCAATGCCCTCATCCAGGTCGAGGAACTTGTTTTCAGCCAACGCTATAATAACGGCGTTTCACAATGCCTCCCGTCCGCTACACTCTTCGAGTGACAACGGAGAGGATAGGCGCAAGAAATACGAGCGCCAAGTCCGGGACAACTTCCTGTCACCCAGATACCAATGAAAGGAGGTAAGGGTAACTTGGTTCTTCAATTATGAAAAGCTGGCCCTCCCGAACCCTCGCCGTGTACTAGCGCAGCGGCAGGACTCACAGTGCGCTGAATGCGATTACAAGACCGCCCAGCAGCGTGGGTGCCCCCGGCTGTTTTCTACACCCGTCAGTTTATCCCATTCTGTCTCAAGACGCAGTTGATGTCCACTAGTTGAGGTCCGGTCCGCCTTTATCTTCCCCCACCCCTCACGATGGAGCGATTCAAAAAGGCCAGGGAAGCGCTTGCAACAGACTATACCTGGAACCGTGTGGGACGGTTTGCCGTCACTGGCGCCAGGGCCCTGCCTAAAGCTTCGGTGGAATATGTGGCAGAAAAGTTCCCCATTTTCCAATGGATTCCGCTATACGACCCCCGCTGGCTGGTCAACGACATGGTGGCGGGCCTGACCGTTGGTCTTATGCTCATCCCCCAAGGGTTGAGTTATGCTCGTATTGCTACGGTTCCTGTCCAGTATGGCCTGATGTCGAGCTGGCTTCCCTCGGCCATCTACGCCATCATGGGCACGACGAAGGGTAAGTACGAGGGCGCCGATGGATCGACATTGAATGGGAAGCTGACATCTTTGTTTGTATTGTGAAGATGTGTCCACGGGTCCGACATCCCTGATATCCATCTTGTCGGCCCAGGTCATCGAGGCAGTCGGGGAGGAGAGCGGGTCTCCCTCCGAGATTGCCTCGGCCATCGCCATGATGGTCGGCATCTACAGCCTTGTCACAGGGCTTCTGAAGCTCGGGTTCCTTTTGCAATTCATCTCGCTTCCGACCCTTACGGGCTTCATCTCTGCCGTTGCCATCACCATCATCCTCAACCAGCTCGACTCGCTTCTAGGCGAACCCAGCCTGGGCGACGGAACAGCAACACAAATCCACGAGGTCTTCCAGCGACTGCCGCAGGCCAACGGGTGGGCCTGTCTCGTCGGTTTCTCCAGCCTCCTGCTCCTGACCCTGCTCAACCAGGCCGGAAAGCGGTGGGGAAAGGAAAATAAGATTATCTGGTTTGCCTCGATTACTCGCGCCTTCATCACCCTTGTGCTTTTCACCGGGGTCGGATATGCCGTCAACAATCCACGCGGTAGCTCAGACAAATTCCTGTTCGGGGTCGCCGAGGTCCACGGCAACGGCCAAGAGCCCCCGAGCATCCCCAAAGCCGAGTTGCTGTCCAAGGTGGCAACCCAGAGCATCATAATCTTTGTCGGAAGTGGAATCGAGCACACGGGAATCGCGTATGGGTTCGGAGTCGAAAACAACTACGTCCCGGACCAAAGCCAGGAACTGACATTCCTCGGCGTGGCCAACATTGCCAACAGCTTCTTCCATGCCATCGGTGTAGGAGGGGCCATGTCGCGGACGGCCGTGAACTCGGCCTGCCTGGTCAGGTCGCCCCTTTCCGGCTTCGTCACGACGGCTGTGGTGCTGGTCTCCATCTTCAAGCTGGTCGGTACCCTCTACTGGATACCGAATGCGACATTGGCCGCCATCGTTATCAACGCTGTGTTCCCCTTGATATCACCACCCGCCGTCTTCTATCGATACTGGAGGGCGTCGCTCGCCGACTTTGTGTCATCCATGATCGCGATGTGGGTGTCCTTGTTTGTGTCGACGGAGATTGGCATTGCGAGTTCGGTAGGCTTCAACGTTGCCTATGTCTTGCTGCGACAGGTGTTTGCGCGGGTTTCCACTTTCAACTGCCAGTCCGAACTCGAGGCTGTGCTCGACGACGCCCGCAAGCTGCCGTCGTCCGTCCCCAGCGACACGCGAATATTCCAGCTCAACGATGTCATTTTCCTGAACGCATACCGTGTGAAAACCAGCGTCATTGAAGCCATCAAGACTCACCACGCACCGATCTTTTTCAGCGCCGAGGGCCAGGAAGCCGAGCGGAGCTGGTCCGTCTCGCGGGAGGAACGCCTGGCCAAGCTCCGCCGCCGCGCGGGGATCCATGCGTCGTCCTCGTTGCCGCCCATTCAGCTCGTTGTGCTGGACTTTGGCCGGACCAACCACATCGACACGACCGCTTGCACCCACCTCAAGGTGCTTCTCTCGGAAATCAGAGCATACGGGGGGTCTGAGGTCTTGGTCCGGTTTGCAGGCATGTCCGACTATGTCCGGCAGCGGTTTGAGCGAGCTGGCTGGAACATGATCTGTGATGGCGACGAGACAGGCGAGGAAGGACTGGATGAGGGACAGGGAGTCAGGGCGTGCTGCAATGTTTGGCATGCGGTAACCGACCCAAAGCGACGAGGAAGCCTGAGAATTGTCGCGGGCGGCGAGGAGGAGCCCAAGGATCAGTTGTTGGCGAAACACAACGAGTCGAGTACACCGCCTACTCCAGTGGACATTGGAGACAGGCCGAGGTGAGAAACCTGAAGATAGACTTGGCGTCGCAATCGAACCAGCCCCTCTGCATCCAGGCAGTCCCGCAAGCCCAACTTCGTGCACAGGCCTGAGATGTCGCGTGCTTTTGCCGTATGGAAACTTTGCAGGAACCTACGGAGCCAGCCGTGCCGACCCGACCAGCAGTCCCTTGAACCAGTCGCATCAGACCTAGGCCCAACTGGAGATAGTGAGAGCTTGTGTCAGACGCCGATTCGTGGCAGGTTGGACCAGAGGTGCGTCACCTGCAGGGCGACTCAAGCCCGACAGTTTAGGAAAGTACGCTCAATCCGGATTTTGCTTGGAGCTGCCGGCCAACCTCGCAAGTGTGTCGTGTCTTGGACTCTTGGCTGATTGGACCGATGACCAACCCGAGTCGCAGATGATCATCATGATCATGTGGAGCACGTCAGTCACCCACTCAGCATCTTGTGCTTGGAAACTTAACATCGACATAAATCCAGGTTATAGCCCAGTGGAGTTTAACGTGCCACAAGTGTCTCGGTTCCGGCATGGGAAGAGGACAGTCACATCGACGCCGATAAACCTGAAGCTTACAAACACCGATCGACCCCCGGCAGCATGTCGTTCGGCCGCAGTGACTCCGTGATGTCGGCTCAGTCAGCCAGGTTGGAGCAGCAAACGCGGCTGCATGGCCACTTCAGCGACACAGAGAGCTCTCTTGCCAGCGTCTCGTCTACCAACCAGGCCCAGGCATCGCGCAAGGAGCACAAGATCACATCTCTGCTCTCCTACCTCGGCTCCAAAAACCCCCTCCCAGCACCTATCAGCGCCGACGACGTGGTCTGGCTAATGGATAATGTCGCATTCCGGGACCGGGCAGGAAACTGGGTGGCCGAGTTTGTCGGCTGCGCCTTCGACCATCGTCCGTCGCCCATGGTGGTGGACATCGTCGGGGACATCGCAGAGAAAGTCGGACTGTCAAGGGACGACCGAGAGGAGGGGGCCATCGAGCGGCGAATCGGCCCCTTTGTCATGGAAATCTTGCCAGGTAGGCAGCTCAAGGTCAACTTCGACCGCAAGACCCAGCTGAAGCTCGGCCCGGGCGGTCGAAACGGCATCAGCAGCGATGTGAAGAGAGTTCCCAAGGCCCCTGGCGGATCTGTGGTGACGTCGACGGCGAATGTCCCAAAGGGAGTAGTCGGCATGCTCGAGATGCAAACGTTCTACGCCGAGCCGGAGGGCTGGGCCGTGATCTCGGGTATGGCTCCTGCATCCTCTCAGTCCGGCTTGCAATTTTTCTCTGATTGACCGATGCCCTGCGCAGACATCGACGACACCATCAAGATCACACAAACCAGTGACCCGGTTGGCATCCTGAAGTCGACATTCGTGAGTGAGCCGACGCCAGTTCCGGGCATGTCCGAACTTTACGCGCAAATCCGGGAGCTGGTAACACCATCCGCGCCCTTCTTCTACCTCTCGGCTTCGCCATACAACCTGTATCCATTCCTCCGCAGATTCAGGGACCAGCACTATCCGTTCGGCCAATTGATACTGCGAGATTCAAGTTGGCAAACCATATCTGGCCTTCTCTCCAACCTCACACTGGGGACCGAGGCGTATAAGACGGACAGGATCAGCAAGGTGCACAGCTGGCTGCCGAAAAGGAGACTGATACTCATCGGCGACTCAACACAGAGTGACCCCGAAGCATATGGTAAGCAACCTCAGCAGCCGTGCCCTTGAACGATGCTCAATGAATCCAGTCTGACAAAAAAACAACATCGACAGGTAATGCTTGTAGGGCGTTCCAAGGGTGGATTAAGTTGGTCCTGATAAGAAAGGTTACCGACATTGCTGCAATTGGGATCCAGGAGAAGAATGAGCCCCAGAGGTTTGAAAAGGCCTTTGACCAAGTTCCCCGGTAAGTTCGTCCTACCAAGCCAGCACAGGCTCGTGCTAATACTGCGTACAGGGAGATCTGGCATGTATTTGAGGACCCCAGGGAATGCTGGCACTTAGTGGAGCAGGCTATAGCAAAGCACAGCGAGTGAATGTTTCAAGAATAGTATTTATATAGGAATGCAAAGCTCGAGTATACACCCCAGAACAAGTATCTAAACTTGCTCATCTCATTTGGCAACAAGAACCTTGAAAGTATTATCCCGCCCTATAGCCAGCCATCCCAACCTCTCGGAATGGGGGACCCATGGCGGCGGCACCTTCCTATCCCTGTCCTGATAATGCTGGGGCCTCGGCTCCCCTGATTCTCATTCACATCGCATACCCCTTCGCTGCCAAAACCCCCATCCCTTTCGCGGCTGACCCCGCATGCTTTTCGCCCTCCTCTCGGTTGATTTAGCGACATTCTTTCTATGGGGATAAAACTTGACGTCCTTGATTGAGCACATGATGAAACTGGAACTGGGACTCGACTTGAAGAAAGGAATCGAAATCGGAATCGAGTCTGAGATTACTGTCTAAGAATGGAGTTTGAAGCTGAAAGTTTCTACCGTAGTCCGGGAATCAAGTTTGAAAATCGAAATCAAAACCGAGTCCGAGAGTCGGTCTGAGAATCGGCTTTGAGAACCGAGGTTGAAAATGTAACGGTCCCAGGAGTATATTGCAACTAGCTGGTGACGACTCTACGAGTTTGCCTCGAATGGAGAGAGAAGAAGAAAAGAGAGAACTAGATGACAGGAAGAGAGGGCAGCTCTTATATGCTCCGGAACACACAGACACTGCCTGCCTCAGGATGACGTTATCATGATACCACGGCCGAGGGTTGCCGAGGCCATCATGGGCTCAGCCCATCACAGAAAAGTAGGCAACTCGATAACAGCGCGAGTGGTTTCTGAAAACACAGTCGAGGGTTCTTGTCCAGATGAGGTTGATTACGAAGGGTGACTGCCTGTTAGGTCTAACTAGTGTTTCGTGAAGAGATTTAGTACGGTAGGCGATAGAGGGATTCCTGACTTCACCCTTGGATGTCTTACACTTGGATGTCGTCCTGTATCAGGTAAGAAGTAATTATTTGGCCACCAGCACTTCTTCAGTGCCTTCAAGCAGCTCCTTTCCCGTGAATCTAGCTGGGTGTCACTCGCGAGGCATGACCGCAGTTGACGTCCCTCCAGCTTCGTCTGGAGCACCGTATCCAAAAATCATCTCACAAGTCAAACGATTCACAAAGTGTTGTGGAGTATTTTCGCAGTTCATTTGCGGAAAGAGGCAAGATGTTGACAATGGTGATCATCGCCTCGTTGATTGACCAGACAACTCAGACCACTGGCTTTCCCCTGACCTAAAAAGAACATCCCCCCAGACCGTGGACATTAGGGTTCAATATCAAGCTCTTCGTAGTACCTGTATATTCCATTCGAGTATCTCTGTCGGCGCGGCGAATCCAGGTATGCTCTGATCCTCGGGCGCTCCGCAACAGCCTTGTGCAGCGCAAAGACCTTGGTGTGCTTTCCCTCTCTCTCCAGCTTCGCCATGGCCTTGGGGAACATAAACTTCACGCCATCCACACACTGGTTGTAAAACGGGTGCTGTTAGATTGGGCACGCCTTCGATGGGTATCAGGGGGGCCTGGGGCGAGGTGAGTGTCGGCAAAGTGCAACGTACCTGGAAAAGCACCAAGTCTGCATAAGATAACGCCGAACCGTAAAGCCAAGGTCCAGACCCGCTCGACTTGGAACCCAGAACTCGCTCAAAGTAGGACATGAACTTGGGCAGCCGGTTCTTGACATAGTCCTCAGACTTCCGCTTGCTCTCCTCTTTCTGGTCCTCGTAGTACAACCCAGTCGCAACCGGGTGGTGACAATCGTGAGGTTCGTTGCTTAAACCGTCTAGGGCCGTCAAGGCTAGCGCATTCACCCTGTACACGCCGTTGGGGTCCTTGTCGGCGTCGGGGACAAGACCAAGACGAGTCCCCAGATACTGCAGAATGTTCGATGTTTGACTTATAACCAAGTCGCCGTGTTCCAGAATGGGAGGCGCCAAGGGCGGGGAATTGATGCCGTCGTCGGGAACCTTGCCTTTGACGAAGCCGAGCACTTCATTGATGCCATCCTCGGTAAAGGCAGTGTCTGTGTACTGGGCGCCCGCCTCTTCGAGGACAAGCCGGATGTGCTCGCCGCGACCGGGGATGCCGGGCCAGTAAATGAGATGATAGGGCTCATCCTTGGACGACTGTTGCCGAGTAGCTGGTGCTCCGGATGCCATGGTCGGACGCGGAATTTGAGTGGTTCGTGACGGGAGACTAGCGGCTGCTGATGTGTTTGGCAAAGGAGTGACTGGGAGCAAGGTGAGCGGGGTAGTTTGGGGGTGAGCTGTTAGGTGACGTCAAGTCACCCAAAGTAACTTCAAGTAAGTGTAGGTACCACGGTAGGGATCTGCTAAACTAAGTCAAGAGGCAACAGGTGGCGTGAGAAAAGGGGAGAGAGTAGAGGGCTTGTACGAGTTGATGGTTGAACGTCAACGAATCGGATGTAGTTAGCGTGCCAAGGCCCTTTAGGCTTCGCGCCTCCGGGCGAAATAAATTCCATCCATCCATCCCAAGGACCTCCACAGTTAGCGAGCCCGCGGGAGACATGAACTAATTGCATGTAGCCGAGGTGTCGTCTGCCCGATGCTGCTTTCAACACGCTGGATCCAGGCTTCCATTAGTCTCGAGACAATCAATCCTGCCTACCATCATAACTAGCGGGTCAGAATGGCGAGCTCGCGCCCAAGCGCGGATACCTCCAATTTCCGTTTCTTCACTCGCGGCCTCCCTCGCGCTGCTTTGTGAGCGCCGGACGAGTGTAGAAATATGGATGCTTCCGCAACGGCTCGTTGGTGGAGCGGGGGTGTTGACGGCTCGGCCCCGGCTTGTTTCGGGCTTCGCAAGATTCCGATCTGCTGAACATGGTCTAATGTATTAAAAATCAATAAGGTAGCCTCTGTGGGATTTGATGTCAGATGTCCTCTACCATTGCTAGGCTGGCTTCCGGCAGGCATAGCACTAAAACCGTGTGCACATGCCTTAATAGGTAGGAGCATGTCTTGGCGTGGTGGACTGCCAGGGCATTGTCGAGGGTTCCACCAGATGAACAACTAACAACATGATGAAGAATACGATTGATAATTCCATGTTAGCGTCAGTACCTTATGCACTTTTCCAATTGAAGTAAGAGCACATCTTGGTAGCGTGCGAGGGAGTTCGAGGGCTTTAAGTATATAAGGTAAATGGGAGACCTGTCAAACTAGTACAATCCTTCCTTGTCCTCGCCGACTCTATCTCACACCAGCTCTGGGCCGAATCAAGTTACTCTTGGAAATACTCTTCAAATCATACCCCGACTCTCAGCTCTTCTCCAAGATGGCAACCACTGAGAGAAAGCCTCTGAACTTGGTTCTCGGAGCCGGAAACGTGAGTCTTAGAGATATCCCACCCTTCCATTCCGTCAATCCAAGGCATACGCCGTGGAGCTCACACAAGCCAGGTCGGCGACACTTCCATCGACCCTCTGGCCCGCTTTGATACGCCAGGTCAGGTGAATGGCTTCCTAAACGCCTTCCTGGAGCGCGGCTACACACAGCTCGACACGGCCAGGGGGTATTCGCCCAGTGCGCCAGGAACCTCAGAGCCCCGACTCGGGGCGGTCGCTGCGGGGGCCCGGTTTACCATCGATACCAAGGTCCTGTCTCGGGAACCCGGCAGCCACACCAAGGCCAAGATCCTCGAGGAGATTGACGCGTCCCTCGAGGCGCTGCAGATCAAGCAGATCAACATTGAATACCTGCACGCGCCGGACCGGGCCACGCCGTTCGAGGAGGCGTGCGAGGCCATGGACCAGGCCCACCGGGAAGGCAAGATCAAGAAATGGGGCCTCTCCAACTACACGGCCGAGGAGGTCCAGAAGTTCCTCGACATCTGCGAGGCACGAGGCTGGGTCAAGCCCAGCGTCTACCAGGGCCACTATAACGCCATCGTGCGCAGCGGCGAGAAGCACCTCTTCCCTCTCCTGCGCGAGCACGGTCTCGCTTTTTACGCCTATAGCCCCGCGGCGAGCGGCTTTTTTGCCGGCAACTACAGAAATCCAGTCGTGGGCGGGCGGTTCGACCAGTCGGTATGTTACCCTTGCCGCAACCTTCCAACAGAGACAAAGTGGTTCGTTCCCTTCCCATCTGACATGTCAATCCTTCACCAGCACTTTGTGGGCGACCTCTACAGGGAGTACTACGTCAAATCCGCCATCACGGCGGCCACCGACAGGGCGGTCGAGGTGGCGACCCGGCACGGCATCGGCGGGCATGCGGCCGCGCTCCGCTGGACGGCGCACCACAGCATCCTGAGCGCCGACCACGGCGACTCCATCATCGTGGGTGCCAGCAGCGTGGAGCAGCTGAAGTCCAACCTCGACATGATCGAGCAGGGCCCGCTGCCGCACGAGGTTGTCTCTGCCATCGAGGCAATCCACGCCGAAATCGGGGATGAGGTGTCGTACCATTTGTAGGGTAGTGCCTGGACAGGGTGGGGATTAGACCATTAGAGATTCCGGCGTAGGATCGACTACGGAAAGCCGATAGGCACAAAATGAACATAGCTACTTCAGAACTACCGTGCTTACTACATTTACGCCCTCAATGCTCAATAATTCAATACTTTACTATTATTATTCCTACACCGCTGTGCCCTTGGGCTTGCCGGACCTTCAACAA